TGAGGTAAGCGATCATCGCGTAACACAAATTTTACGAGAATGCGTAACCAGTGAAGTGGCGAAGCCACTTGGATATTTAGTCATGAGATCTGTCGTGTTAAGTCGGAAATCCTTATTTGGTGAGCAAAACTCCGGAGGCAAACAAAGGAATATTCGGAATCGAAGAAGCAAAAGTTGTAGAAGACAATGTGCTTGTCAACTGTCGCGTTTTAAGGGGGGACTGAGGTGGCGAGGAAAGTTTATTTTGGCGAGTAAACCAGACTTTTCTAAGATACTCATACCTGCTCTCACCTTTATAATTGATCTTTTGTAGTTTGTTAATCGTCACTTTGCTGTTAATCGACACGTGGTCAGCGCCGGCCATAAGGTTAGTATAGAGTTAACAGATTTTACGACTTAATTTTCTGCACGAGGATCCACCCCCCAATTACCAAGACATTGTATAGTTTTGTATTAGCCTTTCGTTTTAACTTTTAGATTATCTGAAGTCGTTTAATCTTAATTTCATTTTGTAAGCCTTTTATTGGAACGCCCCAAATATGTGCGAAAAGTCGTCGCAAATTGTACCTAAATTGTATCTATCTTTGTTTTACAGAACTAAATATTTGATGGAAATTCACATGTTGAAATCTGTGCGATTTATTCATATCAAAATGGGGTGACCACCTAATAGAGCTGAAAATGACACAAAGGGGCAAACGAAACTTTCGGGAATTTTGAAAACCGACCACTTAATACGGGGTGACTGCTTAATACGGTGCTGCTTAACACAGTTCGACTGTACGTTTTTGTCAGTTATCCACCAACAAGCAGAACTCTTGTTGCGGTAGTTCCCTGTACAAGACTGCTTTTACTTAAATCTGACATCTGTAATTCATAACCTTTTTATTATCTGCTGAGCCAGAGGTAAAAGAGGGAGGCTTAAAATGAGTTATCACAGGCTCTATTCACAAACTGTTTTATCGTTCAAATCCAACTAGAATTAAGATAGACCTGTAAAAGCTGTGTCTTTTGCTTCATATCAGTCAGAAAGAAACGAACAGGGTTGCTAAGCGGGATATAACTTTATGATAATAATTAATATCGAACATACCACAAAATTCGTAATAAAAATATTAAAATTTACTGTTTATACTTTATAGAGAGAAGTTAATAAAAGTTGATCACATCGCGCTGTGTCTTCGATTTGCATTAGAAGTGACTACATCATGAGGGCATAATTAGTTGCGAAACGTTTTACTATGAGACAGTGGCGGTTATAGTTTACTGGAAAGGACTAAGGGCGAGAATGTTTCCCAGGTAAAAGAATATGGTGCTTTTTAGGAACTGCTCGATGTTATTGTCTTCAGCTTTGAAAATTATGGAGACACTGGCTCGCTGAGATCACCGGCTCAAAATTCAATTCAATAAGAAGTCCACCGATGTAAGCTGGTGCCAGCGCTTCTCGGATTGTGTACGTGATGAAAGGATGAAATAGATGTCCAGGTTTGCTTCTGTATGGCCGTGGGCGGGCATTTATTTAGTACCACAAAAAATAGGGGACACGTACACCAAGATTTATTGATGTTTACAAAAAAAACAGGAAAAGTGAATAAAAATTTGATTTAAAACATTTCTCAGTATAACAGCGTCTTCATGGCTCTTTACAAAAAAACAGGAAAAATGAATAAAAATTTGATTTAAAACATTTCTATAACAGCGTCTTCATGGCTCTTTAATGCTGGAAATACAGGTTGTTACCGATTTTATCTTCGGAGAATGTTACCAGTCGCAACCCGTGACTCGCGACTACTGGTCAAACTCACGACACGTTATTGGTGATAGCATGAAACACATTTACTCTTCGAAAACAACATCTCTCTTGGTTTGGACTTGGATATTAGTTGAGAGAGAAACGAAAAACAGACGGGCTAAAAAATTGGCAAGCAACTTGGCGCATGTCGGTTGCGGTTAACCATGGTTGTTAGGGATACAGCAATAGAAAGAGAGCGCTCTTTCGCATGCCATTTTTTGCACACTCTATTCTTTTTCCCTTGGAATATTTTTCCCTCTCCTGTTCGTCTCCACCAACTGAATGCCTGGAACTTGACGAAAAAAGGATTATAAAGGGCAAAAGTAGCAAATAAAAAAAGAAAAAAGATAAAAAAGGAACAAAAAAGGAAATAAAAGAAATAATTATAAAAGAGGTACTACCTCAAAGTTTCAACCCTTTCAACTTATTTTTTCTTGTGTTAATCGACCTAGAAATTTTGTTTTTGAAAAGCTGCCTTAAAGTTAACGGCCCGGCTGTATTTTCCATTCATATTAATTAATATTTTCATACGTCTTACAGGATCTCAGGGTAACTTATTTCCCAGAGCGGAAAGATAAATCTTCACGCGGCAAATTAGTAACGCAAACTTGCAAAATGATAAGAGAAATTTTAAGAACGGAAACGACATTTCTATAACATTTAGGAAGTTTCACAGTGAAAAAGAAGGGTGCTTAACACTTAGTGCCATCATTTTTACGGTTGTTTTGAACTTTAAAATTAAACTTAATGAAACAAGCCTAAAACTAACTAAATACGATTAAAATTTCAACTTCAGTAAAGCATTACGCATTTTAATTTAAGCAAGAAGGCTGAACTATCTGCACTGAGCCCATTCGGTGATATTTGAAGTCGCTCCACTGAAACAAATTTCCCGTCCCTGTCAAGCACGACTTGGACATGCGCCTGATTTCTTGGTCTGAAATCACGTGATGCCAGATATTGACATCTGCCATTTCACCAATGAAACTTTGATATTCTTCAAAGCCTCCTCCCAATTTGTCTTGATCCTGTCCAAGTACAAGGTGTCCACCTCCGCGGATCAATCGGCCTGTAATTAAGAGCAAGAATATGTCTCCATTCCTTCGCTAGTCGTTTTTTTAAACCAATTCGTGGAAAAGTAGTTATTGTTTTTTTGTTGTTGTTAGCTTTTTTAAAGGTGTTTTAGTAATACAAGAGCAAACGATTTAAATAAAGTTGTAGTAAGCAAAACGTTTAATCTGCAAATTTTCACATTTTTTTTTAAAATACTCGACTTGCCTGACGGCAAAATTTTGTGAATTAGTTTGATGTTCGATATTTTCTGAGTACAAATTACCTTTTGCTAATCCTCTACCACTAGCCCCCAATGAACCATCCTTGAACAATTTCCACGATCCAGCA